ATTCCTGTCATCATCTAGGTTATTCATAAGGTAATCTTACCTCAGGCATTTAGGCAGAGGTTGGTACAGTGGTTTATTTCAGTAAAAAAAATATCCAAATCCAGTTCCTTTACTTCATTGAGCTTCTCAAGTTTAGTTGTTTGGTTTTTTTCTTGTTGTTTATCTCTGAGTTTTGTTTATGCTGTGGCACCTTTAAGTACTTGAGACTTTCTTTTGAAGCTTAAGAACTTAGTTCCAATTTGGAGTTTGTTTGTTATTCAGATCAGGATGTGCTGATGGTCAGTGCTTGTTGCAGGCCAAGTTGAGAGGAAGAGCCATGAGCTCTCTCTCACTTGGAAATTTGCCCAATGCAGCAATCATTCCTCAGTTCATGCTACCAGAATTGTTTTGTCTATACAGGTTTGCCAAACATGTGGTCAAGATAAAATTACTTATTTTTCCTTGAGGCTTTCCTGGTGGTAGTGAAGCTTGATTGTTACAACAAAAGCCATGGTCAGAGTCTTTCCTTTTTTGATGTCCCTTTGGCATTAGTTTCCTTTTCTGCTTTGTGGAATTTGACAACTTGTCTAGTTGTTTTCCCTTCCATGGTCTCCTACAACAACCAAAGTACAGTAACCAGTTAATGTTTCAGTTTCTGGAACTGTAAGGGAAAATATGAGCAAGAAAAACAGTATCACTGTATGGATTACAGGATTTTTTTCAGTGGTGCTGCCGTTTTAGGCAATATATTTAGGGAGTCTATACATTTAGCACAAGCTTGCTATTGATACTACATTTGGAAAAAAACCCAAACAAATCAACAAGTGGATTTAATCATCAATTTTTTTATTATCATTTTTTTCTCCTTCTGTTTTTCCATGTAACTGTAACCTAGTATCTCTGGATGGTGGTTAGAAAGCCTGCTGCAGTGTGCATCATATGGATGAAACTTGGAGCAATTGGAAAAATGATCCTTAGTACTTAAAATTATTAACTGTGGTAAACTGTTTCTTTTAAGCAGAGTTGAAATCTGCTGAGAAACAATGTTTGAGTTTGCTGTCCAAACACATGAGGAATTAAATACTTTAAATGATATGTTTACAAAACCACCACTCAATTACAAATATTTCTGAATTCCATTACAAATACTTCTGATACTTCTACACCTCAGTAGTGCCACGAACCATTACTGCTGTTGGTGTTTGTACTCAGGTAGTGTGTAAAGGTGCCACTTAAAGTGAGGCCTCATTGTACAAGGTGCTGCATGTAAGATTTCTGGCACAGGATAATTATGTCTTTCTCAAATAGATCTTTTTGACTTAAAAAGTTAAAAAGAGAAGGATTCTGTTGCTAGAGTAGAGTTGTACAAAAGGACAAATGGGTAATCATGTCACAAGAAGGAATGGTAATAAACAGAATTTACATAGTTTTGAAATGAGTTATCGAAGTAGTTTTGCCATTTTAGAATGAACCTTCATCAGTTTTAAAAAGGGGTTATGAAATGTGGTTGATCAAAAGACTAGAAGGACTAGAGAGGCAAGGAGTTTTGTTCCAGCTCTATGATCTCTACCCTTTGGAGAACTGGAAATAACTGTCACCTACTTGTCACTCATTTCCATGTACCACTGTGAAACTGTAATATGAAAAAGGGACACCTGAAGCAGAAATTTCAGCCACTTAGAGAATTTTTTTGCCTCATGGTCAAATCACTGCATTGGAATTGATGGTAAGAATCATTGGGGTCAGGAGGTATAACATCTGCTTTACCTTGTATTTACTGTGTAATAGTAACAGACTTCAAATTTGCAGTTTTTTTGCCAAAAATCTGATGAATTAGTTTACCTTTTTTTTTAACCAGTTCAGCACCAAAAGCTTCATGCACGTAATAACACAAATCTGGAAATAATAGTCTCATACAAATCCCATTCATGTAGAGAGAAATAATGCTGGCCTGGCCTGGTAATATCTTGTTCCAGGAGATGTGTTTCCGTCTGCTTTTTTTTGAGCTGTGCAGAATAAACTTTTGCTTTAACTGTAGCTCACTTGGAGTTTAAAGGATTTATTTGTTCTGTTAATCCTTGTAGGCTCCAAAATTCATTTCTCTACAAATAAAATTCATTTCTCTACAAACATCTCATAGATCTTTGAGAAATCTGAAAGATAGGAAGAAGCACTCCAAAATTCACTTGGAGAGTATGCACTGCAGTGTTTAAATAGTAGGTGCTGATTGCTTTGCTACAGAGAGGATTCAGGTTTATCTACAGTGTCAAATGGTTCCTCTGGAGACATGGACTTTTGTAGTAGTTCTGCAAACTGCAGCATCATTGTGTTACCTGAAAGCACAGTGACAGTGGTATTGTGCCAGCTAAGGCTCCTTAGTTCACTGTGGGGTTGGCTTAAGTCTTTCTCTAAAGGAGGATTTTGGAGAGTGAAGAGGTGTGAAAAATAATTTGTGGACGAAGTTGTATTTTTTCCACATAGTCTGCACAGGAGTTATCTGTACATGATTCATAATTCTGTACAGGCATTAAGTTTAAGGGGTGGGATTGGGGGGGTTTTTTGTGTATGTTGAGAGAATGCAAAATTGTATTTTTTTCATATTTTTTTTAATCCTAACATAGCATCCTCAAAATGCCTCTATTCTGAATATCTTTGAAGCTATTAGCTACTCAGACTGCCTTTCCTTTCTTTCAGGTGGCTTGTCTAAAGGGTGCAACAACCCTGATAAGTCAACACAACCTCTTTTATTTACCAATCTGAGAAGTCTGTAGAAAATTCCAGTCATGGCAAAGTTGTATAGCCTGCAATGCACAGTATTCTCATGCTTTTCTGGGCTCATAGTACTCACTATCTATTTTAAAGTGCTAATTTTCCTGTCTGGTATTAAGTGGATTTTAAGAACTACTCTTGTCACGGGATGTTAGGGTACTCGAGGAAATCCATCTTAAAATAGTGGCATAATTCTCCTACATACGTGCGCAGCTGAAACAGACCATTTTCTTGCCTTCTTTCATAGCTTTTTTCCCCTTGAAAAAAGAGTTCTACTGCAGTCTCTGTGCATCAAGGACAAGATAAACTGTTTCCTTTTTTCATTTCCTGCCACTTCATTCTTCTTTCAGGACTTTTCCAGGAGAAAGGAGAGGTCAGTATCCAGTTGTCTGGGAAAAGAAGATTTAGTTACAGATATTTAAACAAACCCCAAAACAAACAGTTTAATTGGTCACACAAGGAAAACGAGATGCCGAGGTCATCCTCTCCTTCCCTCATGTGGTGTCCAAGTAACCCTAAACATCTGATTATTTTTTTCTCTTAGCTCGCCTCTATGTTTAGCTCTGTAGTTTCTATTAACAGCACTCAAAATGGATGTTGTGCGAGGCAGGCAAATGTACCTGCCCACAATGCTTGAGGACAGGTGTCCTCCCGTAGGAGTGGAGGAAACAGGGTTAGGGCTCAAGTGCCACTGTTCCTACCACAGAGGGGAACTGGTTGTGTAACAAGGGAAAAATATGCAGGGTGGCTGGTCAGCGGGCCATAGGAAAGTCTATCGTGAGGGGATCAGTCTTATGGCAAATTGCACTTAACCATCAGGATTGTTTCTAGGACTCCTTTTTGTGGTTACAGGAAACTACATTTTGTGTTAAATTCTGCTTGAAAAGATTCATCTTCAGACAATGAACATGGATTGATGAATTCTTTCTAGGTGTCAGGCAGGTTTGTGACTTCCAAACTTTTGAAGTTTTCAGCTCATTCTTGACTGCTGACCTACCTTCAGCAGACAAATGACTGTGACCCTGAGGAGAATAATCATATTGGAAGCCGTTTAATGATCTGCTTCCTTCAGAAAATGCTTAAAGATTGAATGCATTTAAATATCAGTCTGCTTTTTGGACCTAAATGTTATTAATGTAGGGTAAAGAGAAGTGTCAGTGAAGTATCTGTTCTTGTACACTAACATGAAGTTTCACCCTGAAAAACCCTTTAGTTAGGAGAAAGACAGCAGGACAAGAGATGCTGCTTTAAGGCTCTTTAAAAAAGCTGAGGCTGAGTTTCCGTATTTTCAAGTACTTGAATACCATGGCAACAAGAGCTTCAATGCTTGAGTTAATTGGGGACAGAATTCAAATACTTTCCTAGGAGGCTCCTCTGAGAGTTTTGAAGTGGTTTGCAAATCTGAGGTGGTCATGGGTGCTTGTCAGAGAGAATTTCTTTCCCTGGACCTGACTCTCCCAATTACTATCCAACAACCAGAGCTCTTTGCAATGTTCCCTTCCATCTTGCAGATTCCCACATCTGTGTGGGGTACATACCATTGCAGGGCATACTAAATTAAGTTGTCACATCTGTGAAAACATTTGCTGAGCTACAGCAAAATCATACTTAACTCCAGACAAGAACTAAGATTTTTTTTTTTTTTTTTAATTAAAATGTGAAGTTCCAGTCAAGCAGCAGAGTTGAAAGTGCAGCTAGCTGAGAAGACATCTGTCTATACCAAGACCATGATAACAGTCATTGGCAACTCATCCTGATTCCAGAGCCAGCTACATACATGTTACTGATAATGAAACATGAAGCTTATTTCTTGCTCTTGAGAGGGATCAGATATTGTAAGCATCAAGATGAGTAAGGACATGTTGACATGTTGACATCTTGAAGTGGGGATTGAGTTACATCATAATCAAAATTTGCTAAACCTGGGAGAATGTCCTCATTACTGCTCTTGCTGGAGTTATGAGAGGCGTGGCTCTTTGAGTAAGAAGTAAAGCATTGGTTTCAGTGATGGGCTGCTTTAACATGAGGATGTTTGAAGATTCTCAGATGCTTTAAATCAAGGAGTTGCTCAAGTGTAGCCCTCCTCTAGGCACACAGGTGACATTCTTGTCTCAAATGTGGTAGTACTTTGACAGTACTGTGCCTGTGGTACATACACTAGTTTAGCATTCTATATTATAAAAAATGGTGACACTAGTTTCTCCCATTTAATTTTCTAGAAGAGGTAATTTACTTCTTTCTTATTTTAACAGCACTTGAAAAGAAAGTGCAAAGGAGGTGTTTCCCTCCATTGGCTCATCTTCACTGTACCTCTCCCATTCTGCTTCCTCCTCCTTATAATCCCCAAGTGAAGATGAGGAGCCTGCTGCGAATATGACGTCTGTGACTAGTGTCATTGCCTCCCACCAGTCTGAGTGGGTGTCCTTCAATGATGACCTGATCCTCCCTGTTAGCCCACGAGGTAAGCTGTCTGATTTTCTTTGAAACCAGTGAGACTTTGTTTGAATTAGACCAACTACTGTCATATATCTAGCATCATAGAGCTTGGCTTCTAAGTGGAAGCAGTATGTGCAGAGGTTAAATTATCTCCTGCTACCCCTATGTAATAGGAGAATTTGGGTCAAAAAGGTAAATTACTCTCTTAATGTGATCTAATGTAGATCTATAACAGGTTTTGGATCTGTCCTTCGAAATTCAAGGCAGCATCTAACTGAGCATGGAGGAAATGTCACCCATTATAATCAAGTGCAAAACTATGTGCAGTGTTAATCTAAAAACTGCGTTAGGTAAAGGAGAACTTTCTACAGTTAATGGCAAATTTTTGATATTTCAATAAAAAACGGTGAAGTAATGGTGAGTCCTGCCAATCTTTCTGTGTCATCTCTATTTTAGGTAGCACTGAGGAGCCTCTGGAGAAATGTTTTAATTCCTCAGACACCTCTCCAGAAGAGAACCAAAAGGCAGATGGAGAATTTAAAGACCTTTTCTGCACAGAGTTGGAAGAGGCAGCTGACCAAACCAAGGTGGATTCTGCTGCGCTTGGTAACCGTGTGTGTCCTAGCACTGATCTGTCATCATCCATCAGTGCTTGGGTTCAGTTTGAAGACGTCTCATGGACTAGAGCTTCATCAACCCACCCACAAACAGGTGAGGCAAAAGCAAAGAAAAATAGTAATACAATAAGAACTTACAGAATTTTTCCTTGCTCTTTGGTTTCTCGAAGGTTGACCTTTGACTAGTTTGTACTGTATTTTAACACAACTAATGTCATCAGTTTCAAAAAGGGCTCTCATACTATCGCTGGGGGTTGCACTAGCAATATTTTCTTTTTATAAAGAAAAATAAAAGCCATCTGTGATTCACTCCACCTATGTCTTGACTTAGTTTTGGAAACTGCCAAAGTGCATTAATGGGGAAATAGCATGAAGGTGTTTTCAGTAGTGACATTTCATATGTAGAGGTATGAACAGCCATCTAAAAGGTCTGATCCGTGTTTGTCTCTGTAATCTGGAACTGAAAAGAGGGTGATCGTTGTTCTCTGTGGTCACAGTCTACCTGCTCATAGTCCCCATATGGTTTTTGCCAGTTGAGACCAACAGTGTTACAGTGCCCATCAGTACTTTCTGCTGTCTTTTGATGCTATGATTTAGCAGCTGGAGAACTACAAAGACAACAGAAGTTTACCCTAATTCCATTACTGCATGCACTTTTCTTCAAATATGACAGTTTTTTCTGACATACTTTAAACATGCTTGCAAAGCCTCTGGTTTGCCTCATCATCTTATGCTAACTGATGTGGCTATATGAGCTTCTAATTTTTATGTATGAACAGAATTCTTCCATATAGGAGGTTATGGAGTAATTGCCCAAGAAAACATTACTTTACTTTTTCATGTTTAAATTGAGATTATCTCTTAATATTTCCACTTTATGATCGTTAGTTATTGAAGTAGTTTAAAGAGTTATAGCTTTACTCTACTCACTGAGTCCATCAAATACTCCTTGTGACATGAATAATACTTCTGTTAGAAAACTTGGACTGTCAGCTTTGGGGTGGGTTTTGGGTAAACCCCATCTGTTTTTCCATCTGTTCTTTTGATAAGTGCTACAGTCTAGTCCATTTGAGACAGTGGTTGGACCTTTGTGCAGGAGAAGTGTGTGAATCTTCTGGCAAAACTAAGTTTTCCTGACCTTTTTATCTTTATATTTATTTAATGGTTCTTATTCTTAGATGTAATATTTACTCATCCTAGTGATGTGGAGAGAAGGAAGAGCATTTAAACCAGGAGTGTAAATCTGTAAAACTGAGGTGCTCTACCTCTCTCTGTAGTTTCATGGTTAAGTGAGCCTTGTGGTTACTCCTACAGGCACATACTTTTTCAAATGAGGCCATATTCCTTCCCAGTGCTCTTATGTCTTTGTTAACTGAAAAACTCATAAATGCACCTTCTTCTTAAATGAAAAAAAACCAAAATCTTTACTCAACATAAATAAAGCTAGTCATAAGAAGGAGACTTCCATAAAACTAATTTTATGATGTATTACTTGACTTCCTATCCTTAAAGGGATGTGGCCTAGGCTTAAGATATGTGCTTAGCAAAAGCGCTGTCTCTTGGTTTGTGTTTTTAGTCACAGGGGATACTAGGCTTTAGGCAGAGGTCTAGGATATCCAGATGAGGAAATTAGAAAAGACTTTCCAAAAGCAGTGCAGTTTTGAAGAAGACAGTCATTTGTACCCTTGTAGAAGCTTGTTGTATGTGATCTGTGTCACCAAGGCAGGATATTTACACACTAACTTTCAGCGTCTGGCTGAGTTTCATGGAGCAGGGTGATTCCCCTAGCAGTTAGGTCAGGATGTGCTCCATGTAATTCTTGCATGGCTATTATTCTTTGATTTATATAGGAACCCTTAAGAGGTTTCCTAAGGATATTTTAAAATCCTTATTTATGAGCTGGTCCCACTCCTATTCTGTATTTATAAATGGCCAGAGCAGTGTAGCTGACAGCCTCTAAAGGGAAGGTCGTGGGATAGAAGAGATGACAGCTCTTTGTTTCTGGTCCTCTACTCTGAGGGACATTTGACAGCAAGAGGTAGGATAAACTTCAGCCTAGTTGTTCTCAATTAATCTGCAGATCACGTCTTTTTTCTATGGGTGGCAGCAAAGCTGGAGACTTTGTGTTACAACCTCGCTATGCTAACACACTCAGTGGAAAGCCTGTGGTGACAGCAATTATTCATTTCCAGTAGCAAACAGGCTGCATAAGAACAATAGCAGATACCCACAATGGGGGGGAGAAGAGTATAAAGGCCAAGTCTGAACAGAAGGAGCGGTGTGAGAAGGATGGAGATATTTAAAATCTGTTTCCTGTGCAGGCAGCTGTGAAGAGCAATGTCCTGAAGGCTCAGCACCCCTGGTACCGTTCTTGTCAGGGGTCCAGCATGTCAGGAAATCATCTGTCTGTCTGTCTGCACTCAAGCAGCTGCTCAACTGACTCGATACTACCCAGGCTGATGGCCAGGCTGCCTGGAAACACATTTTGAAAAGGGCTTGCAAAGGGGGATTTCCAGAGTGCCCTGAGAGCAAAGAGGATGTGTCCTAGGAGAGAGAGATTTTGTCTTACTCTGACTTTAGAGCTATAGTATTTTTGCATTGGTTACCCCAAAAGCAAATACTTGTCCAGATGTGCTCACAGTCTGAAAAAAAAAGGCAATATAAAGACAACTGGAATGAAGTAGTTATCCTATGGGAACTGTGTTTAAAAGAAACCCGAGGCTAATGCTGGACCCTTGTTGTCCTGGGAAAAGTGAAGACATTATTGACGTAGGAGGAATCAGGGAAACTGATAGCAAGAAACAGGGCTGAACAAACAGGCAAAGAATTTGGAAGATGAGAAGAAAGGTCAAAACCCAAGGTGTAAAAATGAAAAACGCCTATAGTGAGCCTCATAGTAAAAATTATCTTTATTTAGGATGTTCTTGTAAATCTTCCTTCTACCAGGTTCAGGCTAAGCAAAATGTTTGTTTCAAAATATTTCTACATTTTGGATTTATTCATAGTTAACTCACAGCTGCCAAATCATGTATATTTTTCCCCAAAAAGCAAAAGCTGTTGAGCGAGGCCACAGAAATATTTAGTCACAGAAATTATGCGTTGTGGTGCCCTCTTCCCTATTTTCCTTTTGCTGGGAAGAGAAGAAATTTATGTTATTAACAGGCTAGTCAAACTTGTCAAACTGATACTGCAGAAGTGAAAAATGAGATTTTTAGGCTCACATGAATGTTCCTATCACAAACGTTACATAATCTGTAAATGATCACAGCCAGTGGGTGACATAACATTTGCATTTGTTACACAGTGGACCTCCAGCTCATAATCTCATATTCTATAGGTGTTATCTGCACTCTTCAATTCAAGGAGGTATTCAGCAAAGCACCAAAATTAGAATAAGGCAAGATCTGTTACATCATCCATCCTCCACACACACACACACACAGAGCCACCCTCACTTCTTCCCAAGAGCTTTGTCTGGTTTTAAATGGCTCAAGTAACTTGGACTCCTACCATGTCCCTTGAGAGGCTGTCCAACAGTAAGGCAAATCTCAGCTTAACTATTTTGGGCTGTTCTGTCTGAAAATAGGCAATACATGCAACACAAGATCAGCAACTGGAAACTAGACCAACGGTGATGGTGTCCTAAAATCAGAAAAATCTGAGGTCCTAATGCTGACAAGGTTCATTGTAATACAGTGTAGGGATCAAGGAACGGGTCCTCAAAGTTTTAAGATAAACCTGCATATTAAAGGCCAATCAATTGTATTAAGAATAAACATGTCAAGAAAAGTAAAATGCATGTGAAAGGAAAGATTTTTCAGTTTGGGAAACAACATATTGATTTTCAGTATCCAACGTATGCTACAGAATTTGCATTTTAGGAATAGTTCTGGCAGTGGTCTTTCAACATAAAGAGATTTCTGAGAAATTCTTGCAGCAGAGAGGCTGGAACTCTCCATCTATTGGTATTAGAGATCAAATTCAAAATTTCTGCAAAAAAAACCCCTACTTCATTTAGAATTTGGCTGCAGCATGTCCAAGGAATCTGAAGAGGGACCTTAAACATGTAGATGTTGACTTTGGCTTGTCATGCCTTTTGAGACTGATAGATGGTCTTTTGCCTCAGCATAGGGGAAAATGCACTTTTACTAGATCCAAGGATTAGTGCTGGGGAACCTAGAACAGTCACAGGTGGAAGTTCACTGTAATAAGATTTCAAAGAACATCTGTTGCAGAAAAAGCTGTCTATGGTTATGGTTTTCCAATGACAAGACTTTCTTTAGAAAAAAACCCAAACAATTCCCTTATTTCAAAATAGAATTTGCTCCTATATAGAAGTATTTGGCAACACTAGTCCAGTTGGTCCCCCTCTTAGACAAAAATTCATTTTGGAAAGCACAAAACTAGTTGGTAGTATATGAGTTATTTTATCATATGTGTTTCTAAATTAGCTTATGTTTGTTCATATTGCTGACTTTAAACAAAAAAAAAGAAATACTGCAAATCTAAGATCTTTTTTTTATAAAATAATTCCACAGTTTCTAGAATTCAAGATATAAAGCACACTGAGAAAAAAAACTTGGCTCTTGTTAGTGATTCACATACGGAGCTCAGCTTTTCAACTTGTCCAAATAAAGTGCTCTGTCTGTCAAAGCAATTTCAGGTGAAGCTTTAAGCGTGGCTTTTCAGGTGCCTCATGCCATGTTTAACAAAAGGACTGAGAGAGGGACTGACAGTTTATAATCATACACTCATCATCCTTTCTCTACAGGCACCAAGCACAGCACAGTGTGCAGTTACTGGAGGGAGAAGTGTGGGGTTTTGGTTGTGTCTCTAGCACAACAACTGTCACCCTCTGCAATAAGGAGACAGCTCTAACTTTCAGCTCCACATCTTTAGGGATGACTATTCAGAAGCTGCTCAGTACAAAGGCTCATAGCTGTACACATATAAATTTATCAGTGCCTGCTTACTTAGGCTAACAGTGCAGATATGTAAAATAAATTAACACATCTCAAAAAGCAAGCAAGGGAGCACTGCTTGGCTATTCCCTCTATGCACACAGCAATGTTTCAGTAACAAACAGGTGTCCCATCACATCACTTGGATGGAGTAGAGAGAGATGAATCCTCTTTAACATTAATTTACCATTTTCTTCCAAAGTATCAAGTGACGTTGTGGACAAAGTGTATACAATACAGAGAGTATACAATACAAATTCATAGCAGTGGATGTGTAAGCTTCAGTTCTGAACTCTGGATGATGATTAGGCAGAACGTAACTGTTTGACGTGCAAGTCTGGCAAATGAGTAGAACAGGACTTTTGGTCTACACTGAGCAGAAATGTTATGCGGTATATTCAGACTGGGACACTCCACCTGTTCAGAAACAAAAGCCATTCCAGTGCACATAAGTGGGCCAATTTCAGTTTATTTTTATACTCCTCCTCCCACGTGGAGAATTCCTGAGATGATGACTGCATTTGAGTGGGTGTCACAGATAGGTAAGGCTTAATTAAATATAATAGAACCACTTCAAAAAAATCTGTGGTACTATAAAAACTCCACTGTGTTGCACAACACACACATTCAGATCTTGTCAGCAGTGCTAGAAACTTGAAATCTTGTTCTGAAAAGTCACAGCTTCTCCAATACTAGAACAGTAGGAAAGCATACATTTGCCAGCAGTATGGGATCTAAGGCAGACAGCTGAGAAGTGCTAGAAATTAAGAGTACCAGGCCCTAGTTAAATTGGTGGATGTTTATTATAAAATAATTTTGTTGCTGTGGATGTTGGAATTTATATTTACAGGACCTCAGTAGGGTCTGATCTAGCATGTCTTTGGAATAATCATGATCTTCTGGAAGATCACTCTGTATGTCTCTAACTGATACCTGTTTTCTGCAACCAGTGTCTGCATCAAAAGTACCTAGCTGGACCTCCCCCTCTTCCAACTCTTCTGAGAGGCAAGCCCATGCCTCAGAGAGCAGCTGGACAACCAACTCAGAGGACACCAGCAGCCCAAGCATTGCTCCCTCCTACACAGATCTGCAGTCAATTAATACTGAGGACTTGACCAGTGGTAGAACATCTGCAGCAGATTCAGCTGGTAAGAGGGAAGCATTCAAGCTTCCATCTCTATCTTTTTAATGCTACTCAGACTCACTGCTCAGAATTGAGCCACAGAGAATGGATCCAAAGCAGAACAAACTCAAGAATTAGGCTAACGCTTTGTTCTACTCCACTTTCCAAAAAATCACACTTGGATTTTACACACCACTGATACATGCAGGCTCCTGAAGTAAGAGCCAAATGCAACTATGTACCTGGTGGTGGACTTGGAGCTTTTCTGGTTTTCACATATCACGTCAGCTTAACCTGATCTAGGAGCTAGTTTTCAGTATATTGTGGGGGAAGCTGGATGCCTTTCCCAAACTTCCATGCAGAAATTTTCTTAACTTGACAGTGTATTCAGGTGAGGCAGGTCCAGCTCTTCATGCCCCTCGCTGTTTCAGTGAGTGCCATGACACAGATTGTTTACTGGATGCATTCTTTGTACTGTGCTTTGCACTGTTACTGTACAGTAATGCAGAGAGGGTGTAGGAGATGGCAGAGGGTGGTTCAGTAGCAGATTTCAACCACTTAAGGGTCCTATGTCTGACCATATAGGGCTACATTCAGATGGGAAAATGTGCTACATGGCATTGTAGCTCATTGCTCCTCAACTGTACTCTAGGTAATCTCTGAAGCAGGAGAAATAAAGCAGAGTGGTGCCACTCGTGTCATGCAGAAGTGGGATGATGGGAACTCCTGAATGACAAAGTTGACTTTCACAGCACATAAAAAAACCTGACATGTCAGGACATAAAAATGAAAAAAAAAAAAAATACACAGCTCTAGGAGGAAACACCTGCAGTATGTTGGAAGCTGTTCAACCCAAGTTGAGGAAGGTTAGTAGCTACCCAGTTTGGTGATGCAAATTGATTCTTTGGTGTCACCATAGCTCAGGCATGTGAGATATTTAATGTGTTTTCTCTCAGGTGGTGAATGTAACAATACATGTGAAATAAGATATGTTTCGGGAGAATGGATTCCTAAGCCTAGCTGAGGTCATGTGTCCCTTTCATAAGAAACATATACATACATCACCTACAAGGAGTATTATTTAATGGTTCAGTGAAGCTGGGTTGGACATCAAGGCAGGTTTATAAACAGCAGCATAGTAGGTACTGACTTAGTGCTTAAGATAAAGGATTTGTGGAGAAGTAGTAATAACTTTGGATAAGTAGAGACATTTCTTTCTTCAAATAATAGTTACCAACAATCTGTCTGACTATTTTTATTTTAGAATAATCTGCTCGTCTGTACCTCTGAGTTTGGAAACCACTGGTAGAAAGGTAGAATAGGCAAGGTGGCATGGTGTGCCAACATGAGCATCAGTTCTGTTCTGATGAGCTCATGTCTATTATGAAGTGTAGTACTTTTCATCTGCAGTATGTGCTGGCTATTGCTGTTCTGTTGATTTGGTATAGGTTGCCAAAGGATCGCTGTTGTCACTGGGGCTGTCTCCATCTGAGCAAGGGGAATGAAGGATTCCCAGTCCATATATAACTTTGCATCATATAGAAAAGTCAAAGGCAAAAGTGCAGCTGTATATGCCTGGCATGCGTATGGAATTATGTCCTATATATGGCCGAAAGTGAAGTTGATACTTCAGTAAAAGCTTTGTGTGCGACCTTCTTACTGTTTCTTTCTCAGTCAGTCACAAATTGACATATTTATTACCAAGACAGATACAAAAACTCGTTCCAGTCACCTATAAATTTTTAAAACTAAAAAACTAGGTAATATTGGCAAGGCTATGTAATTAGTTAAAACATAAGGTACACTACCTTAATGGTACTCCAACTTGAAGTATGAAATATATTGAGTCTTCCCACCACCAGATGTGGAGTTTACAAAAGGGCAGCATGAACAAAGTGCATCTCTTTGTCCTGTTCCTGGGATGCCTCAGAGCCCACCCCTGAGGCAGCTGCTGGCATCAGGAGGGTTTATGGAGGTGAGGGGGCTAAGAACCTAGTGGCCATGGAACTGTTGTACAGTTGTGGCTGCTTTTCTGTTGTTCACTCTACCCTCATCCCACCCTCACAGTGCATAAGTGGACAAAAAAATGAATGACCACTTTCTTCTCTCCTTCCTCTCCACCTCTCTCCAGAAATTCAGTTCTTCAAACGTGACTTGATTCAAGCATTTGATTTTTATTTCTCTTCTCAAAGGACTGGCTGCCTCAGTCTGTAGTGGAGTTTGAAGACTTCATCGAGGCAATGAAGTGGCATGTATTTTTAACATGAAGGAAAAGAGAGGAATCCTCATGCTCTATTTGATGATGAAGTCACATTGGCTGCTAGCCAGTATGTTGACTCCAAGGTCAAGCTTGATGAAGAGAAAAAAAATTCAGACTAATTTCACTGCTGAAAAACCCTATGAAAATAAGTAATCAATGTTTGATCTACTTAGTGATGGTGAAGAAGCAGGTCTATAAAGTAGCTTGGGTCTAATACTCTTTCAAGCAAGAAAAACTTGGTGATGAGAAAAGCACGAAAACTTCTACTAAGCAGTCAGATGCTGAGTTAAAATAACTGGTTTAGCCATGGTGAATTTTTATTGCCTGAACAGCATAAAAAAGAATCCAAGATACTCTGTTCCATAATTTCACCACTTGCTTTGAATCTATCCTGCATGCAAAATGCTTAAACATCAACTGCCTGTGAGAGTTCAGGGCACAGGGTTTTGTGTGGGAGCAGATGAGAGCCTGAGGTAGGTCTAACTGCAGGCACGTCCAGGGACAATTCACAGCAATGAGAATGCACGTCTTGGTGTCCAGGGCTGGCAGGCTCCAAGGAGGTAAAATTGGCTGGGAATTAACTTTCTCACAACTGGCATAAGATTTGAGTGTAAAACAGTCTCATGGGCTTGAACTTTATCTAGTGCATGTGTTTATGCAAGATATGGCCTAGGAAGATATCTGAGAAAGATGAGAGAGTCCCAAATGATCCCAAACTGAAAGTTTACCCTTGCAGGGGGACTAAGGAAAGCCTCGCGACTGATGGAGTTGGGATAAGCACAATGTCCTGTAAAGGCAGCAGAGTTCATAGCAGTGAAAGTAAATGTTGCATGAGCAGAGCTGAAAAACATTTAGTTTTCTATCAAAGTGCAGCTAGAAGATGCTGCGCTTTATTGCCTATGCTAGTTTGAACTCTGGCACCAAGAAGCCTTTGATATTATCCTCATCTTTGACACACGAGGGGCTATTCAGCCTGCAGCATCTAGCCAATAAATGTGGGCATGTTTACATGGTTATAACAGAAAGCACTTTGCAACATCTAGGGTTTCACAGTGTGTGAAACTGTATTTGGTGCTGATGAAGTGGCCCCTTGCCTCAGCTTCTTACATGCCTCACCATGTCGCTCAGCTTAGATCAATAACCATGAAAGGAAGGAGGAACTTTTGGCCTTTGTGCTGTGCTCTGCAAGATAAGTAACACAGGACATCTCTGTTACTGATACAATACAAGTATTTGTTCATTCTGTTGCAGATGCTTGTCTCAGCTTTCTAAAAAGGCCAAATATCTACGAGTCAGAGGAGCAAGGGGGAGGTCTTCTTGTAACTGTGATTATAGATCTGGAAGCACTGAGATCTGCTCTGAGGTTGTGCAGAAATACCTCACAACTTGATTTGGATTTCTGCATTTCACCATTCTTCTCTAAAATAATTTTGTTTATATAAATTAAAAGTAAATATTGACTTGTATATAAAATAAAAATAATTATATATAGTCAATATGTATATAATAAATATATATATATACACTTAGCTCATAAACAGTATAATCTATTATAAATTTAATAGAATATATGATAGAGTCTATCTATTATATAATAAAACTGTGTTTGTGTATGTCTATGTGTAGGCATAAGTTTCCTGGTAGCAATTTTAGGTGTGTTGTTGCTAGTTCCATTGTTGCTGTTGTGATTTGTAGCTTGGGAAAGTTGCAGCTACACCATGTTTGATGTTAACCATTCATTTTGCTGACCAGTTGTTCTCTTTGGCATTCTCCTGAATCTCTGGGACTACTGGGATACCAAGGAAGTCACTGTGTTATTGTTTTCTGAGAACACCTGCACGCCTGGAAATAGCAGGTTACATGTGTGACCCCTAACTGCCCTGTGGCAGGCAGAGGCAGAAATGGCACTGTAACCATATAGTAGCAATGGTGCAGCACTGCCCCAGCTTCATACTGCACAGCAACACAGCCGGTGCCCCTCAGAGCTGGTTGCACCCCGGGGAGCCCCACTCTGCAGCTCTTGAACAGCAGCAGGATTCACCACTGGGCGAAGTTACCCACCTCAGAACTGGCATTTTCTACTGTCAATTCTACATGGCAGAGAAGCAATCAAGGCTTCAGCAGTAGCACCAATTAACAGGAGCTGTAAATTATTGCATGTGCTCTTGATTAGAGACCCCAGTTTTGTGTGGAATTTCCTGTCTGAATATGAAGGGGCTGAATGGAACTGGCAGTTTAAACAGGCAGTGAAAAGGCTGGCAGCAGTAAGAATGAGAAATTTCATGATGCCCAAATGCATAGATTTGCTTGTTTCTCTCTTATTGTGATATCATCTGAAACCTAAGAAAGGCTCAAGCAATCACTGGACTGTGCAGCACAGGAATTGAAAAAGTCATGGTGGATGCCTATAGGGGATCAGTTATAGAGTCATCATCTCAAAGAACAGTGTGGGATAGAATGGGAAGCAGGTTTGTCAAAAGAAGAACAATGTACAGAATCATTTAAACAAAACGTTCAGCTTCTATGTCGATAATTTATTTTCCTGTGCCCACTTAGAAACTTGTTGTGATAAAGGTCCATTTTTATCAGAACTTCTGCCTCCTTTATTCAGTCTGGTGTTAGGGGAAAAGTGTAACATTTTCTGCTCTTTCAAGCCAGAAATGAGCAGAGTTGAATGATAGTACTGCAGGTAGATTGCTGCTTTATGTCTTTACTTCAGCATCTCTGGTTTTTAGCTTATCTAGCCTTGATCAAATGAAATAATA